GTTGGTGGAAACTCAACAACAAAGAGTCTTAAAAATCCAAGATAAGAAAGTGCCTGGAATTAATTTATTTAGCATTTAATACCCTCATTTTTCCCTTGTGTTTCAATAAAATTAGAAAGTAAAGTCCAAAACTAAACAAGGTATAATGGTATCCTTCACATTGATTTTCGTTCCCCCTCACAAAATCAACAAACCAAACATAGTCCTAGAGTGGAAGTAAGAGATAAACCAACAGAGTTTAAATGTTGAAACTGTTGACATTTCATATCTTCTTTTTTTTCCCCTGGTAAGTAGACATTTCATATCCTTTTCCTTTTTTGGGGGGCAAGTAGACATTTTATATTCATTCCAAGAGAATTCAATTTTCAATTAATTTCCAAATTTTCCAGTTTTAAATTCATTTTTTTTTTTTTTTTTTCAGCAAGAAAATGGAAGCTTGAATCCTCACCTTCCACTTGAGGAGGTTGAGGAGATACCACTAAATTTTCACTTTTCATTAGCGTAGGATTGAATTAGAACCAAAATATATAACCTGCTCTGAAATTTTGAGATAGATGTTAAAAATGGGAACAGCGAATTCAAGTATATAACTTGTTTAATCAAGTCCAAAACACAGTACAGTATGGTACAGATTTCAGCATTCTAAACGTGAAGTAAAAAACTATCGATGACTCCATGCTTAGTCCATGAAAATCAGAAAACTCTGACTTTTGAATATGGGATGTGAAAGTCTCACGATCAAGAGTATCAGTTTGCCAGTAGAATCCCACATTTTCTATATTTAAGAAAACTAAATTTTCTATTTAAGTTTCACTGTTTCAGCATTCCCTTCTTGGCACTTATATTTACTATCTCTTTTTTTTTTGGTCTATTAATGCAGTCATGGAATCTTCCTATCACCCTTAAACGGCATATGATCTGTGCAGGTGATCTTTGAGTCATGAAACCATAAGGTCCATAAGTTCTTACATTCTCGCGTATATGATTTGTGCAGGTGATCTTTGAGTCATGAAACCATGAGGTCCATAAGTTCTTACATTCTCGCGGTGTATGCTTACGCGAAGTTTATAAAGAAGCCTGAGCACATCTCCAAGACTTTTAACTACCTATCCTAATTATCTCATATATTTCTTAGTTTAGGATTATATTCTATTTAATCTCTTTTGAAAATTAACATTGTTTTATATACTCTAAGATCCTTATTGAAGATTAAGCATTGCGGTGTTCTCATCACAGTCGAGTATTTCAAAAGAAACAAAGCCCAACTGAACGCTCTTCCTGGAAAACAAGATAATTTTGCCTCAATATTTAAGCTAACGAAGATAATTTAGGGTTTTGAACCATTCAAATGCAAATCTATTTCACGTACTCCACTTACAAACAAGTAACCAAGTTTTAAAGTAACTTATAAAGAATACAATTTCCCAACGAAGAAATCCTAATGCAATGCATGTTGTGTGGAAAATATAGTAGTGGCCATAATGTATTCTTAAAATGCAAAGGGCCCGAACCGGTTATAATGTACTTTTTTCTTTTTGCTATGAGCTTGTGATGTACCTGGGGCATCATGGATAAGTACTGTATGAGACACCTAGAGTTAAGGTATGAAATGGAGCAGGTTGGACTCAATATTGATCCGAAAACCAATTTTACTATGTTTGGGTTGTAATGTTAATTTAAACTAAAATGAGAAGGAATCTCAGATATGGATGTTCTTTTAAAGATATCCTCAGACCTGGGTTCATTTTGGATATAACTGTGCAAGTAGGCCATAAAATAGACCAGGTTGAACTTGAGATCCAATTAAATCCAAGTCCCATTTTTTCCGAATTAGGACTTATTTGGATTATCCAGGGATACATGGGCTGGATATGATTACTCCACAAGATCGGGCATGGGCTGGATATGATTACTCCACAAGATCGGGCACAGATTCAATCATATGCGGACCCTGACATTGAGAAATAAATCTGAAATTCGATCTACATGGATGTATTTCAAATCCACTCCATTTTGAGGATATAGGGAGTTCTTTGAAGATGAGGTTCCCAGATTTTTTTTTTTTTAATTGAATGGGTAAAAATGCAATGGTCACTGATATGCCTTTTTATCTGGAAATGGCAAGGTACGGGATCCTTGTTTTGGTAATACGTTTAAGGATTGGAAAGCGATACACAACGAATATCTTGGTTAGGTTGTTATATGTGGTTCTGATAGGGGTTTAGAGGCGAATCCTGGAAATGTCATGGTATGCGGTCCTCCCTATATGGTTTGACTACTCTCCTATAAACAATAGATAATATGAAGCAAAGAGCTAAGTTTATCCTGAACTGAGTGTGAGGAGCAGAAGAGATAGTGAATCTTGGCATTGTTTGATATTATTTCCTTGGGTCCATTGGGTTCTGCCAAGGGTCAAACCTGAGATGATCGAGACTTGAGGCAGGTTTTGCTGGTGGGAGATTGAAAGAGGTTTGAATGCATGTTGTCGTGCTTTTGATAATCAACTGAGTGGAAGGAAACGAGAAGCTTTTTTAGGGTGGGATCATCAAATGAACATTATGGACTTCTCCCTCAGTGATACCACCCCCTGCCTGGTCTTTTTCAATTCCGACATTTTGGAGAATTCTGAATATCGACTTTCAAGGAATTCCTTTCTTTCTTTATTATCTTGTTGACTTTTTGGAAAATATGGGATTATAGTAGCCTTTTAGCTTCTGTGTTTTGTATTTCTTCCATGTTCCTCGATGTAAAATTTACTGTGTAGATGTGTTGCCCATTTGGTGCTTTTAGTGGATAAATTTGTGCTTTCCCGGAAAAAGGAAAAGCTTAAGCCACAGGTAAATCTCAATATTTACTCAAATCTTCCATGAGATGAAATTGGCGAGAAGTTTCACTAAAGGCTTCCTCATTACCTAGGAAGGTGTGGATTATTTGAAAGAGTATAATTATGAAATATTATTGGATTGATACTATTAGAAAAACAGATAAAAGATTTGTTGAATTTCCCACTAGGATATTTGTTGGGAAACCTATCTCATGTTTGCACCAGATAATATATGTTGACATGGACAATGGGTAGACAAGAAAGGACGGGAGCAATGCTACAGGTTGTTGAAATCAACCATTCTCCATGTGTGTGCCATGATTTTGCTTAGGAAAAAAATGTGTCCATGTGCAAGTGTAATTGGTTGATCTAGAGAAATTGCAGTTTTCTTGCATAATTCCTCCATTTCTTGAACAATAAATGGATCCAACTTTACCTAAAAAAGAAGGTCCCCAGTAATTATTGACATCTGATTTGATATAGGGAACAGGTCAACCAAGCCGGAAGGGTGTGGCAAACAAAATTGTAGAACACTCACTTCAGTAGGAATGGCAAAAGATTTTCTAGGCATCACAACCTAGAGTTATGATAGCAATGTGCTAAAACTGTGGGAAGAAACAATAAGCCCCACATACAACAATTTTTGCCTTTTTTTTTTTTTCTTTTTAACTACGGTATGTAAATACAAAACCTATTGGAATCTATAACTACAGAACCATCATAGAAATGAATGAAATAAGACATATACTCAGATGTAGTATCCATTACACTCAGGACATTTCATTTTTAAACCTATCAAATCCTCCAAAGCCTTAAATACAAATAATACAAATAGTTTTAATGAAGAAGAAAAGGGGGAGGGGAGGATGTTTATGGTGATGTCTCGGAGACTTTGAACCCTATTCTTCCAGACTTGAAATCGTTTATACGTACCTCAATCAATAATTCAATACAAAATGCATGATGGACTTTTAAGGAAATAAAGGCCAGTTCCATCATGTAAAATTAACATGGGCAACCCAAAAGTGGAAATTCTAGAAAAAGGTATTTGCCGACCAAATAAATGACATAGCAAAGGGCTTTTATTCACAAAGTGTGTCTTAAAGAAGACTGTAATATGGCTTCAGGGCTCAGGCTAAACAGTTTACAACTAATTACGCTGCCATGTGTTACTAGAAAATAGAACCATGCTATGAAGGGGGTCAAGAACATAGTTATCAGAACCTTATTTCAAGGTGCATGAGGTGGAACTTTAAAACCCTAACCATCAACAATTATTACATGTACTCCAAACGATCACCAATTTAGATTTTATTTGGCATGCAATAAGCACTTCCCTTGGTTAACACAAGAAAAGATATTCGAGCTCTCAAAATGCTCCAAGAACTTGTATCTTTCCTCTAAGAATCCCCAATTGAATCTTGAGGAAAAGGATAAAAGATATGGGGAAACTTTACAATTTAATCCTCCAGATTATTAAAGTTCTAGGCACCAACTTGTGGAAAAGGATAAAAGATATGTATAGGAATGTGAGAATCATATCAATAAAAAGCTAGGGTATCTGCTTATAGGAGTTGGGAAGGTTGTGTAATAGTAGTCTAAGCATACAAAGTTCTCTAGAAGAATCTTACAACGGAAAAAGTAAATCACAAAATGAGTATGACACGGACATTGTGATCAGGACTCTTGATATGTTTCCTCCCATAATCCAATCTGAAGCCAAACCCTTAAGGAGGAAGAAGAATGAGATGATCCTACACGGTATGGAGAATACTATCTTTAAAAAGACACAAAGAATAAATGGATGTTATAAATGCATAAAATTGTATTCCCACTGTCGATCCAACATTCCCCAACAAAATTTAACTTCTCTTCACGATCAACCAATCCAATATTCTTAGATATAAGACAATAGTACTAATGTTCAATAAAAACCATCAGAAGAACCTAAATAAACCAAACCCAGTACTCAAACATATATCTTTTACACTAATCACACAATTCATAGCATGTTTATATGAAAATCTACTCATTAGCCACTCAATCCATCAATTGAAACAGGTAATTAATTAGTAAACAACAACGCCTCAAAGAATAAATGGATATATCAAATACTTAAAACACAGTTTAATTATTTCATTTCCGATCAACCCAGAGTTCTTCATTAAAACATATATAACACAACAGTAAAAACATATGTAGATTTTCAACCAAACAATAAATTCAACATGAATATTTTACACCAATTTGTAAATTCACCCAATATCAATAACAGTTCATCAATTTTAACGGTTAATTAGTAAACAACAATCAAAGATTTCGAATTAAAATCAACATAAACCATAATAGAGAGAATTGGATTGAAGATTACTGTACATGAAAGCCGAATTACACGTCAATCCGAATGTGAAACGTAATCGTAATCATCGTCGTCATCGAGACTGGTCGAAGACGAATCGGACTCGTAGTAGGCGTACGAATAGAAAGAATCGGGAGGAGGGAGGCAAAGGAATGTCCAAATGCACATCAACAAACGACCTATCTGTTGAATTGGGAAACAACAGACGAGATCTAACAATTGTTCGCTGCTTATAGGATCGGGAAAGCGTGCGAGGTGTTGCCAAACATCGGCTGATCGGTTCGCCACCGATATCACCAGCAAACTGTTGAACACCATGTTTTCTCTCTCTAAAATATCTCTCTTTCTCTCTCTAGGAATCTGTCGTTGATTCAGTTTTCACCTGAATTCTTTCGACAGTTTTGTTGTTTCTTGCTTCACGAGCCAAGCCGAACAGAATTATAGGGCAGCTCGAGTCGACCATTTTAAGAATATACTGTATTAAAAAAGTTTTTTTTTTTTTTTTTGCCCAGAGGCAATCACAGAAGAAACCAAAGCAACAACAAAAAAACAAACTACGATCCAACATCAGCCTCAGCCAAAGGGACTCGAGCCAAAGGGACAGAATTATAAGGTATTAAGAAAGTTCGTGAACCTAATATATATATATATACATATATATATATATATATGGGGTAAAGTGCAAATAACTTCATGGACTTTCAACCAATTGTACAAAACTTTCCTGAATTAACAATTGCCCCCTGAATTATGATAAAGTTGCAGTTAAAGACATCAAGTGAGGTTCGACACCGAAAAAAGAAGATTACAATATTACCCTTAAGTGAAACTACGTCGTATTGGTATTGTCTTAACTCAAATCTTAATAATCTAATAGAATTGTGACAACACATCATTACCTTATCACCTCATCTTTGTTACCGCCAAACACGGCCTTATACGCAAGGCTTTCTCTCTCTAAGCTCTATTTTTCCCATTGTTGACGACGTTTGTCGACCAAAAAGGTTTCGCCTGGTCTATATGATGCTCACCAAAAAGGTTTGTTGACGAAGGTTGACAATGTTGAGAAAGGCGAGGTTGACGAGACCTCGTTGCCTACGGCGGGACCAGTCTCTTAACGGCGTCGCATAATCACTTCTCGCTGTCACTGCCCACTACTTCATCACCATGTTCATTTGACGCCGGTGGGATCCTTCCTTGCCGCTTCCGGAATCGTGACCCATCTAATTGAATACAGTTGATTTAATACATATATCCAAAACTCAAATAACCCATCACTCATTGTTGTGATTCTATAGATACATCCAGAACTTAAATCCATACACAGTGGATTTAATACATACACAGAGGAGAGGAACTGACGGCGCAAATTTTTCAAGTCGCTGTTACTAAGATAAGAGGAACCGAAGGGAACAGTCTCTTCACGGCGTCGCAGAAGGCGATGGGATCGGCGGCGTGCAGACATGTCGGCCGATGCCAATGCCAACGCCAGATCCGTCGCCACTGTGCCAGTCACTGATTTGCGCCGGAATCGCGACTTCTTTAGTCGCTGTTCTGCACCGCCGAGCTCTCCACTGGCCGACATCTCCACAACCGTGCTCTACACCGCCGAGCTCTCTCTCGCTCGCCAGTTGCCATCACCTTCACCCCTCACTCTCTCGCTCTGCGGCGATGATGATGATCGATGCAATTTTCGGCTGATTTGGGTTTTGAGGCGCTGAAACCGCATTATCGAAACCATTGGTAGAGTTTTCAGAAATTGAATTGATTATTTTTGGATCCAAATCGCTTGAATTGAGGGCAATTTTAGGGTTGTGAGGTACTGAAATTGAATGGTGAGAGTGAGTGGTCAAAAAAAGATGAGCAAAGTGGACTTGAATGGTGTCTGAAAGGCCAGAGTTTTGGCTGTTTTCCTTGGCTATGAGCTTTGGTGGTGTTTGGTGATGAAGATGAGAAATGGGTTTGCTTTTTGGTCCTGTTGAGGGAGTTCTTTGCTGATGGTGATTCCATGGTGTTGATGCCGGCCGCAAGAAAGAGAGAAGACAGAGATGACAGAGAAGTGAGAGAAACCAAAACAATGAGACTGAGACCCAGTCACGGTGACCATCCAGTGAGCTCCAAGACATGCGTGTGACTCCGGTGAACAAACGACGAGCTCTGTTCATCTTCTTTCGGTAAGCTTGGTTTGACTTAGCAGTGAGTTCCGGTCCGGCAGTCGAACACTTTGTTCGCCGTCCTACTCCTTTCTCTCTCGAGTTTTTACCCCTTCTCTATATTACTATATACATACATCGACCCACCCACCACCACCGTCTATTCACTTTGGATGTGCTCAGGATGGTGACACTGTACTGCAGTGACCCACCCACCACCGCCGTCAATTTGGGAATGGAGAGAGAAGCCAAGGGTATTGTTCTGATCGATGAGTAGATATATGAATGTGCTTAGGAAGACTACACTGTGCGGCAATGAGTGCCGGCGGCTATGCAAGATTTTTTTTTATTTTTTATACCTTTATAATCATAAAGGGCTGTTTTGTCATTTTTTATTTTCTGTAATCGCGCGTGAATAACACACCCCCATTTAATGGTGAGAAATAGCCGAAACTTCGCCGGTGGGCATTTTTTGCAAAAAAATTGATAGTCCAGGGGGTTAATTGTAAAAAAATAGTTTAGGGGGGGTTTTTAGGGAGAGAGAGTAAAGTTCAGGGGGGTTATTTGCACTTTACCCATATATATATATATATATATATATATATATATATACTGTATTAAATACTTTTTTTTTTTTTTTTTTTGGCAAAAGTGCAAACAATCCTGAACTATTAGAAATCGGCAATTTACTTCTTTGGACTACAAAAATGAACACTTCAGTACCACAACTATTATAAATCGTACAAATTAACCCCTGAAACGCAATTTCGGCCACTTTCTAGCCCACAAGGTCAGCACGTGACTGTACTTTTCTCTTAATTCCGAAATTGCCCTGCAATATGACCGTTGTAGCCCTTTGCCTATAAATTAACCATTTCAGCATTTTCCTCCTTCCATCTCATCATTTGCCTTCTTCCATCCTGCTGCTCCACCTTTGCACCAAATACTAAAGACTAATTTGAAGAACAAAGTTGAAGGTAAAATATACATACATATATATATGTATATATGTAAATATACATATATGTGTGTGGGTGTGTTTTCTCTATTTTATGTATATATATACACACGTGAATGTGTGTGGGTGTGTATTTCTGTATTTTATATATATATATATATATTATCATATATAATGTACTATATTTTACTGGGCAATCCTCTGTATAATGTAGTATATTTTAGTCTTTATTTTATTTTTTTTAAATTTATATAGCGAGTATGAATTTATGAAGTTGTATAAATTGTTTGTAGGCATATAGAGCCATCCATGACCTCAAGAAGTTCGAATAATGTACCATATCGTGGTAGAATGCATGAAGATTTGTATTGCTACTGTGGAGTAAAATCTCCTTTGAGAAGAGCAACAACTACTGCGAATTTAGGGCGAAGGTTCTATAGATGTGGAAGCTATCTGATACGGTCCTGTGGGATCTTGAGATGGATAGATCCCCAACATAATGAAGATGAAAGAGAACTTAATTGAAGTAGAATGGAAAGAGGGGTAGCTATGAGGACAATATCATGTTTGAGAGCAGAAGGTACAATGAGAACTTATATATGAACTTGGAAGTGGAACAACCTATAGCAAGTAGAATAACTAAAAGCACTGTAATTACAAATTTAAATGTTTTCATATTAGGATTTATATCATGTGGTATTATGATGTTAATTGTGTGGCTAGTTAATAGAGTGTAATGTAATAAATATAATTGGAAGTTATTATTATTTTTTCAACATGTGCACATTGCTAACAGTATGATATTTTAACACACAGACAAAATATATATGCACATTGTCAATTATTACACCAACCAAGCAACATAATAAAGTTCTCATTGCACCAACATAGCAATATTATAAAGTTCTCACTGTAACACAAGTGCAATAATAGAACACAACTGCACCAAGTTTATAAAAATAATAAAAGCCACACAACTGCAATAAAAGAACACAACTACACAGACCTGTTATAATTAAAAAACCATTATAGCATAAGCAATATAAACCATTGTACCATTACAGACATCAACCATTGTACAATCACAGACATCAACCATTGTACCATCACAGACATAAACCGTTGTACCATCAAAGAAATAAACCATACGAAAATACAAAAGGTGTGTGCTGCCATCTACAGCTAACAAAGCAAACCAAAACACAGAAAAAACAAAACACAGCAAAAGTTGTGTGCTGCCATCTACCAAAATACAACAAAAACACAACATTTGGATTAAAAGCTGTATGTTGCCATCTACCAAAAGTTGTATGATGTCATCTGCCAAAACGTACCAAAACATAGCAAAAAAACATCAGTTGCATACACTAATCCCAATGGTGCCTAGAGTCTTGGATCCATTGTAGTGGGTCTGCCATAAGAAAAGATTCACAACATTGGAATTACAGTGAGATAATGAACTTCACTACTATAGAAATCAATTTAAATATATATACCTTCCTGATGATGATGATGATGCTTAACTGCTCCACAAGACATCAAGTCAACTAATGATGATAATGCTTGGCTACTCCTCAAATTGTTTAGCATAGTCCCATACATTGATGGTAATGTAATGACCTAAGTAAATATATATATATATATATATATATATATATATATATTACTACAATGGTGAAATCATAATAAACTATGAGAACATACAGTAATTTAAACAATATACTTTCTGTAGTTGCCTTTTAGTGATAGCTATAACCCTTCCAGCCCCTCTTCCTCTTGCACCACCTCTGGCTCCTCTTCCTCTTGTATCAGCTTCATTACCTCCAGCTCCTCTTGCTCTTGCATCAGCTTCATTTTGTATATCTATATGGTCCGGCAGTACACTAGCTACACCAGAAACAATAAGCAGATGAGGTCTACATCCTTTACCTTTTACTTGACCTTTTTTCTTAGGTATTGCCTCAGTTGCCTTGCAAGTCCTAGTGTTGTGGGCTGTCTCCCTACATCTTCCACACCTTAGATGTTTTTTTTTTTTTTTTTTGCTAGCAACACCAGGTTTACTAACCTCACCAATTGCCTTTTTTCTTACCTTTTTAGGCCTACCAGTTACAGGCTTAACAATAGGTGGGTGTATAGGATCAGTGTCAACTTCTCGTTGCAAGTTCCTAAGGGGCATAGGGTATATAATATGGTTATATGTCCTGAAATAAGTCTCTCTATGATAACAACTGTCCACATAATTCTCAGGCTGCCCCTTTCAGATATTATACATGCAATGGCATGAATGCATGGTATACCTTTCACATCCCATTCTCGACAGCTACATGTTCTATTTGCTAAGTTAACACCCTCATTAACACCTTTATAGTAATCCTTAAAAATATCAGCACCTGCCTTTCTGGTAGTACAATGTCCACAGTCATCTATTAGGTTCTTTAAGTCAGTTGCTATGGTAGGGCACAAAAACCCAGTCTGATTCTGAATCCACTGCCTTTTAGACTGATTGCGATGCATCAAATAACCATGAATCCACTCCAACATAGTAATGAGTGGTTTGTCCCTAGCATCACCAATTTTGTCATTCCATGTCTCAGCGAGATTGTTGACAACTAAATCACACTCTGAATTATCCTCAAATTTATGCCTTGACCATAACCTAGGAGGCACATTTGCAAGCCACTCATAGGCTCCCTTATCAATGTCCTTTATAATCTGCACGTGATACTTAAATACACTCTCAGTAAGTGCACGTGATTCATTCCACATCTCATTTCTCAACTTCACCCCTTTAAACTTCTTTTTAAAATTTTCATACATGTGTTTTACACAATATCTATGATGACAACCATGCAACATGTCTTCAAAAGTGTCAACTAATCCCTATCAAAAAAAGAAACATATAAACATTAATTAAATGAACATGCAAACAAACATATATTAAAAAAACATAAATTAAATTATTACCTTCTGTCTATCAAACATAAATGTAAACCGATGTAATAAACCCAAAGCCTTCTCTAGTTGTTCCATGAACCACTTCCATGACTGCTTTGTTTTAGATCCTACCACAGCAAAAGCAATAGGAAAAATCCCATTGTCTCCATCCCTTCCAAGTGTACTTAAGAGTTGGCCTTTGTAAGGACCTTTCAAAAAACATCCATCCACTCCAATGAATGGTCTGCACCCTTCTAAAAAACTTTTGCTCATTGCTTCAAAACAAATGAATAACCCTTCAAATCTTGCAGGGTCTTCAAGTGTTGGTCTGTCAATAGTGGTGACTGCAATGCTACCAGGGTTTGTAGATTGAACTAGATGGCAGTAGTCTCAACCTCTTCTGAATTGTGACCCATGGTTCCCCTCAATGTGTGAGACTGCTTTCTTCTTTGCTCTATAAACCTTGGAGCCAGAAACAATCACATCCAAATCCCTCAAAACAGCCTTTTTCATTGCATCAGTCTTCCATGCAGGTTCATCCCTCAAGGTCTCTATGTATTTTTTTGCCAAGAAAGAAGACGATGCTTGCTTGTTAATTTTAGTATAAGAGCAATGATGAGTTGAATTGAATGTCTTTATCTCAAAACTGCCATCTTCAGTGTTGATTGATGCATGTATCCTCCACCCATAATCAGAAGCACATTTGGCAGTAATTCTTTCTCGTTTATTCTTCACAAATCTAATGTCATACTTCTCACTAATAGCATGAGCCCTCAAGTCTACTCTGAACTTTTCTGCTGATTCATATTTTTTTCCCACTTCAAAGCCATTAACCCTTGGATTCTGCCGGCCTCCATCATTATTCTCTTCCTCATCTTCATCTTCAGATGAGCCCTTTAAACTTTGAAATTCATCACTTGGAGCATATGTTGATTCAATGTCAGAAAAATTGTATTCCCTTTCATGTAGATCAAGGTCATCAAGATCCACCCCAGAATTGGCATGTTCATTGTTCTCAGCAACAGTAGGCTCCACCTCACCATCTTCATATGCCATTTTATCTTCCATCTCAGCAACAATAGCCTCCACCTCAACAAATTGATGTGCCATGTCACCTTATATGTCAGCACCTTCCATCTCAGCATCTTCCATCTCAGCATCATACCCAAACTCTATCTTAGTTTCTTCTATTTCAGTATCATACCCATGCTCTATCTCACCATCTTCTATCTCAGCATCAATTAAACCTTGTTCCCCATCACCATTGTTCATTGACAACTCAACATTACCATTTGCCACCTTAGTAGCCCATTCTAGGATTTCATCTTCCCACTCAGCATGCTCTGATCCATCCCCCTCCCCATCAACCACTTCAATATTAGGTGAGATGATGAACATTTTAATTAAACTAAACCTCTGATGACAACTAATGTAGCCCAAAACATCTTCATCCTTTAATATTTGTTTAATCCCTTCATCACTGCTCACCATCGGATTCCTATAATATAATTCACTTCTCTTATCATCATACCCAAGCTTCTTCACCACACGATTTAGATCAAAAGAATTTAAGTAATCCAGATCTATATTATGAATCAAGGTTACAGTGCCACCTGTATAATTAAGGGGTGTGCCCTTAAAAGATCCTCCATGGTGTACCTCCAAACTAACTAACCTAGACATGATCTGTTAACAAAAAATAAAATTAATTAATTAGCATTGCAATTAAAATTAACAAAACAGAATGCAATGGCCTACTATGCAATAAACTATGTAGATGACAAATACAAGACAAAGACAACAACTACAACACATGGACAAAAAGCAAGAACCAAACCCCAAAAGCACAATACAATGACACACAGTAGGGTCAATACACTTTAAGAAATATAAAGGTAGTACCAAAAAATTTCAATTATTGTGCTGACAGTACCAAAAAAATCATTAAAATCCAAAAGAATTCATGCATTATAATGACCCATGTATATTATATAGACAAAAAATATGCACATGCTTGTCAATATCTCAATTATTGTGCTGATAGTACCAAATATATATATATATATATATATATATATATATATATATTCATGCATTATAAAAGGTTGAAATCAAGATTTCGAAAACCCTACCAACAATCACAATATAAAATAACGCCCATACGCATGCAAAAATATCTACTACAAACCATTTATAGAAAAAATGTCAGAAACCCTAGAAATTTAGTGACACTTAGTATTCAGTAACCCTAACATACAATAACATCAAAATAACATGAAAATAAAACATAAAGTAGCGATTTTGAAATTAAAATCAGCTTTTGGAATAGTAAGCACACTTACGATTCAACCCTCTTTCTTGCACGATCGATTCTAAGACTTCAGATTTCTTCAATCTTCAATACAAAACACCAAAACCACACAATAACTCCTTCAAATCGTAGTTTAGAGACCCTCAGTCTTCATTGCACTTAGAAGCCCTAGATTCGCGACCTTGCATCTTCTATTCTCTAAGCACTCAATAGACAGGGTTACAACTTCAACACTTAGGCAACGTTTGGGAAAACTAAGTGTATATCCATGAAGGGCATTCACAGTATTTCACTCTTATTATTTATTTTTGTATTTTTTTTTTCTTAATTACGATGGGTAGTTTTGTAAATTTACAATGAGGTCGACCGGAATTACGTTTCAGGGGTTAATTTGAACGATTTGGATAATTGTGGTACTGGCTTGTTCATTTTTGTAGTCCAGGGGGGTAAATTGTCGATTTCTAATAGTTCAGGGGGGTTGTTTGCACTTTTGCCTTTCTTTTTTCACTGAATACTCCGTGTCGGACTTGTTAATGCATCTCATAATTTAACGTCGAATAAATGCAAACCTGTCATTCTACATAATTACCGAAAAAATATTCTCTATAAAAGTGATTTCAAACACATTTTAATGCAAGGGATTTTATCCCCAACTCCATTCATGCTTGTCCAAAATTGTTTATTAAACTAAGTGATCTGAAGGATTTAGAAGTGTATTTTTTTTAGTTATATTATGAATTTAACAAAAGTAAATAATGAAACTATTTTTCAACCATGTAACAATATATTTTCTCTTCTCTTATGCGTATAGAAACAAGATTTAAATCCTCAATTATAACTTGAGATTTAATATTATTGTAGAAACATCGTAATAAAACATAAAAGGATCTCAAATAAGAATAATATAAAATGATATCTACTGATGGAATAGGCAAATCTAAAGTTTGCTTAATATATATCTAATATTTTATAATATAAAATAATTTTTAAGGGAAAATTCATAATTTATTAGGATAAATGGGGTGGGGTGTGGTAATCTTTCCCCATTCTCGTTCCGTAACTACGCGGTTTTAAATTTCAACCCAATTATTGCCTCAAAACCATTTAGCCATTCATATAATCCTTCTAAACGTGACGGGGTAGGCATGTACCCAATGGGCCATGGTGTTTTTCGATCTCTATTGAGGTTGTTTATGCTGGACAAAATTACATAAAACCCTTACCAATTAAACTGAAAGAAAATGTAAAATAAAAAGGAAATTTAAATGACCTTTTAACCTCAAATATCAAACAATATTTAGACCATCTCCAATGCTAAAAGTCATTTTCGCATGCCAAATCTATATTTTGACAGGTGTTGCAATGTCAAAATGCTACATTTTAACAATTCTGCTTCAATGATACATTTTATGCAAAATGCTATTTTTTGACATAACCACCATTCTTTTTCAACTACCATTCCCAGCATTCACAAATTACTATATTGCTATATATTTTTGTTTTATTTTTACTAAGAACTAAGAAAGATCCAAAGAGAGTAGTAGCATAGAAGAGCCAAGGTTTAGCATTAAGCCATTGATTTGTTTGTTTTTCTTTGTATAAATAATAACTCGGCAGGGCAGTTATGTACAATTTGAGAGTTCGAAATGCTTTGTAGAGAGCCTCAATAATAATGTAACTGCTCACAATTATATTTTGGTGCAAATAATGAGAAAAAAAAATGGTCTTAATCACTCTGTTCTTGCTAGTATTCTAGATTAATATCAACATGAACATACACTGAGCATGATTATTTTTTTCAATTTCATATTATTGAAAATGTCTGATAAACAAAGGGTATTACCAAAGTAGTGCCACTAGTGCCTTTTTCTAAATAGATCGAACTAACAATTATCCATACACCAGATACTTCAAAGTACTTTATATATAAAAAAGACTCCATTAAAGAATCTGAAATCCATCAATCCAATAATTGACTGAAAATATTTAGTTTCAAAATCAAAATCTTTTGTAAAGAAGGATGGTAGCAGTACTAGCAGGCACAACTTCCATATAGCATTCAAAGTCTAAGGGTTGTTTAGTTAATTTATCCTACTTTAGTGTTAATGTGTGTAATCTTTGTATTTTGGATAAGCAAAATATAAGGTCATATTTGCACTATTTGTTGAATAATATGTGTTACATTCTGCAGTGGCCTTTTTAGATGAAGATGATGTAGTAACATACACAATCAAACAAGGAGACACTTAATGTTCCATTTGATTACTGATTTACTAATTACTAATGCTCCAGAATAAAGAAAAAAAGAAAAAAGTAGCCCACCAATCATTTGATGAATCAGAAATTCAGAATATTCTAATGTTTTGGGATTAAATTAATGCTCCATTTGATAATTTTGATTGCTGAAAAGGAGAAACAGAAGAAACGAAGACATAGCTGAAACTTTAAAAATTTGTGTGATTTCAACCAAGTAGATTCCGGAGACTGAAACAAGAAAAATACATAAAACATGTTTTAGAACTAGTGAAGCAATCCCCTTGATTGAATTGAAGCCTTTGAGGGAGATGGTGGAACCGTGGAGGCCTAATCAGAAACTTTCATCAGAATTCAAAAAGTTTCATTTTTATCTGCAAACCCTTTTCCCTTTTCCCTGCGACATTTACACTGAATGGAGGAAATATTGACTTAAGTTTTAAACATAGATAAAATGGGAAAAAGAAGAAGAAGAAGAAAAGAATCAGAGGAGTTTAAGAGAACTACAAATCCAGACTAATCAACGGATAGAACTCAACAAATAATTTAAAACAATAATAAAAAAAGGAAATCAACAAATTGAGTTTTAAGACGATAAAAAGGCAAGAGTTTCCTATTACCTGTGTTCATAAAAGTCTTTGATAAATCTCATTTGATATAAAAATAATCACCAAAAAAAAAATTAAGAAGAAGAAGAAATTAATATACAATCATATATGAGGCAACATGAACAGAAGAAGAGGAGTTAAAGAACACCGAAACAAAACTCGAGCGAAGGGAAAGAGAAAATACAGATCCGATAAGAAAGAATTTACCGATCGTTTAAGTGTCGGTCGTTGTCGATAATTGCCGATCGTTGCAAATGGGAGGGAGAAAGAGACGACAGGGCAACTCAAAGGGACAAATAGAATGCAACGAAAGGTATAGAAAAAAAGGCTGATAGGATTGAGGGAGAGAGAGATTAAACTACGTCGTATAGAGAAATAAAAGGCTTGCCAAAAAAAATTGGCAGCTGTTATATTTGAGAATGTCAAAATTTGAGAGCCCAAATGAGAGCCCTTTTTTCACCCCCTCTCATATTTTGAATTTAGCAGCCCAATATGAAAGAGCATTGGAATTGCTCTTAGAGAGAGAAATATAGAATTCCAACGTATTTTGCTTTAACTTTATAATGTGTGTGTGTGTGTGTGTGAAGATGGGTTTCAATAACTTTTCAATTGCCTTCATGTTGAGATTATGTGCCTAAATGGATTGTAATAGACATTTTGATTATTGAATCTGCGATTTTAATGCTTTATATACATATGGTGAATGTTGTGCATTGATTAGTTTAGAAATGGATTGAGGTGTCTTTTGACTATTCGGGTTGATTCATTTGTATATTGTGTGTTCATGCACATACCACAATGAATTAGGGATGCAACGTATTATCATAATTATATTCTAATTCGGTAAAATAAAATGGATTCTCCATCAGTGAAGAATTTGAGTGAGATCGATGATAAGTTAAAGATTCTGATATATGTCATAGCAATATTGTTCTTAT